TCTATATATATATATATATATATATATATATATAGGTGTTGACTGTACATACATATACAGCATACTTCTACATCTGTGTTAAGATGTAAATTTCTTTATTTTCATTTTTATTTGTTTGAATACAACAAAAGAACTTTTTCGGTTCTCTCGTGCGTATATATTTACCCAAAAACACGAGCAGCAGAGGCAGTAATTTAAATATTTATAACTTATAAAATATATATATTATATATATTATATAAATATATATGTGAGTATATATATATTCGATAGAAACTGCTGCAAATGGCTTTATGGGGGGGCCATCAAGCACACACGACGGCGCGGAAGAAATGCAGCACCTTATATGAGCGAGGAAGCGGAGAGAAATAGAAAAACTTTTGTGTTTTTTGTTGTAAATATTGTTAAAATAAATTATTAAAAGAGAAAATAAATTATTTTAATTTAAAAATAAAGAAAAATAAAGCGACAGGAAGCTGAGCGCCCGTTGGGGTGTATGCGCAGCTGCATGCATCGACGGCAGCAACAAACTGAACAGAACCAGGCGGCATACAGCAGCAGAATTTTTCTTCTTTTTTGCAGTTTTCTTGTTTAGAAATCTTCTGAAAAGAATATTAATACTTTTAAATACTTAATTCCACTTCTGATCGAGCTGTATATACACCTGAATTCCTCACAAAGGTAAGCGCTTTCCGCCCGCATACGGACCACTCGTCGCCAGTTCATTTCTGGTTTCAGTTGAATTGGGCCGATAAAATGTAAATTTATTTATATATTTTTGTTTTAAAATATATTTTATTCTTTTTCTCCGTTTTTCATTCATGAAAGCGCAGCATTAGCCGAGAATTTCCACCTCTGATCATCACCAGGTTTCGAGTGCAACTTCTTCTTGCATAAACCGATCTTCATCTTTTTCTGCTTTTTTCAGGTTTTTTCTTCGCAAAACTTTCAAAAAAAAACGTCAAAATGGGGGTGAGATGCTCAGTATTAACTCATTTGTTTCTGGTTTCCATCCATTTCCTCTCTTATAAACCCGATACTCCTTGTTCTACAAGCACGATGCAGATAAACCCTAAACCCTAAACCCTAAACCCTAGTCCTTCAGAGTGCCTGTAAACCCTCCAATCTATCTTCATGTAGCTGCTGCTGATGCTGCTGCAGCTAACCCCCTGCAGCAACACCCCCCACACCCCCCCCCTAAACCCTTCTGCTGCTGTCTACCGATCTAGAGCACCACAGCTAGCCCCCAGGAAGAAATATAATGCTTTTTCTAGGGTTTAGGGTTTAGGGTTTAGGGTTTAGGTCTTATGGTTGAGAGTGCAGAGTTAGCAGTAGTAAGAGAAAGTATGTATCTATGTTTAAGGTTTAGGGTTTAGGGTTTAGATACATGAATATGAAGCTGAGAGCAAACAAAACCCAAAAAAAAAAAAACAAAAACAAGAAGAAAACGATGTTGTTTGTTGTGGTGTATAGGAGAAAGAAGCAGAGATATTTCTAACTCCTGATGGTTGTTTATATCATTTAGGAGTAAAAGAAGGAGAAATAAACCCTCGTATATTGACGGTGGGAGACAGAGAAAGAGCGAAAATTATTGCAGAAAAATTTCTGCAAAATTTCAAAGAATTCGAAAAAACCAGAAATTTCAGAACTTTTTCAGGTGTATAGACACCACAAACCCTAAACCCTAAACCCTAAACCCTAAACCCTCGTGGTGCTTGGTTATGTTGTTACTCACGAAACACTGAAACCCCTAAACCCTAAACCCTCATGCTTACTCTCCATAAACAGTATATCATATACGCTAAACCCTCAAATTTATAGTCTAAACCCTAAACCCTAAAAACCCTAAACCCTAAACCCTAATGTTTAAAGTGTAAACCCTGATGTTTTATGTGTACAATATAAACCCTTATATTCTCTTAAAAAAATAAAAATAAACCCTAAGAACTCACCGATAAACCCTAAACCCTAATTTTAAAATATTTATAAATATTGATAGTAAAACTATAATTCACAAATATAAAAAAAAAATATATATATATATATATATATATATATATATATATATATATATATATATATATATATATA